GAGCTCTGGGATACAGGGATCTAGGTATAGCTTGAAGAGGGTAAATAATACTAAAATCCTTGACTGCCTTATGAATATTAGTTTCCCTTGCCTATTATTGTAATAAAGACACTTGAGTGGGATAGAAAGGCATGTTGGGAAACAGGATTGGAGAAAGCATGTAAGCCCGCCTTCAGCCTATAACTGATTGGAATACCTAAAAGGGGTTCAACAACTAGCCCAATGTAATAGGCCTCGTGCAAAGCCTTTACAGAGTATAGGACTGTAGGTGGAATCCTGAGTCCCATCCACAACCTTATGAGGTGAGACATTCCCTGTAGAAAGGACAAGCAGACTGGAACAGCTACAGTAACAGAAGATATATCTTCATGATGAACCTGACCTATACTCAGAACAGTAGTTACTCTAAATACCAACAGAGAGGAAAAGAGTCTTCAAATCAAGTACCAATTCTATCCGCTCTGTACACAGGGTAGATAGGGACGGGCAACTTAGACACTGGCTACCTAAAATGAGGGGGCAATAAAGGCACGAAGTGACTGGCTTACAATGTTTCAAAAGGGAGTTTAGTTTAAGAGTATGGGGGGAAAGAAAGAGTCCCCACTGAATAGCTGACATCTTGTCTAGATGGTCTGGTGAAAAGAGATGGGGATAAGATTTGTAAAATTCAATAGTGAATAATTGTTATCATGACTAATTGCTACTGTCACAATTGTAAAGGTAGAAGTTTAGTAATTAAAAAAAAGGGGAGTGGTTAATCTTATAGTCCAGAAACAGAGAACCCTAGGACCATCAAGAGAAGAACACACAAATAGAATACGGGACCTTATCCAGAGAAGCAGCAAGCAGTACCAGAGATGGAGGCAGAGACGGGGCATGGAGAGGGGGAGTAGCTGAGGACTCTAGTTTCATGGACTAAGAAGAGAAGGACTAAGAGCTGGTGGCCAGGACCAGACTTGCAGAATGTGCTTTTTGGAGATGTAAATTATTTTATATGCCTGAGTGGTTTTTGTTTGTTTGTTTTTTAAAAAGCTGAAGTGGATAGAGAGAAATACTGTTAACTGATGGTACATGGAGGGGATTATAATCATTGTAATGAAACAAGGTATATGATTTGTTGAACGTAAAACTGATGATATGCCCTGTAAACTTTCACTCAATCCACAATAAAAAACCTTAAATTAAAAAAAAATAGTAAGGGAGAAACATTAAATAAAATAATAATGGCCAAATATACATAAAGGAGCTCTGGTAGCGTAGTGGTGATGAGTCCGGCTGCCAACCGCAGGGTCAGCAGCTCAAGACTACCAGCTGTTCCGCGGGAGAAAGATGAGGCATTCTGCTCCCGTAAAGATTTACAGCCCCAGAAACCCTGTGCCGGGTCATTATGAGTCGGAACCGACTCCATGTTACTTAGCAACAACAATATACATAAAGGCCATATTTGTATTCCTGGAAGCAGAGAAACTGATTAATAGATAATTTAATAGAGAACACAAAATACAACAATTTATTTTTAAGTTGTCAAGTATTTCATTTTATTTGGATCCACAATTAATGTCTATGGAAGCAGTAGTCCAGAAATCAACTGACGTATTGCATGTGGCAAATCTGCTGCAAAAGGTCTTTTAAGTGTTAAAAACCAAAGATGTCACTTTGAGAACTAAGGTGCACCACATCTAAGCCATGGTAGTTTCTTCTGTTGAAATGCTTTATTGTGAATTGAGTGAAGGTTCAAAGAGCAGGTCATCTGTTTTACATTAAATAAATCATTCACTTACTTTCATCTCGATTCAAATTCCCTCAGACCTGAAGGGTTGCCAGGGTCAGAGTCTCTTTCAGACCCATAAGGCTGAAAAGACCACAACTTCTGTCATTATATACAGTAGACTAATTTAATCTCTTCTGAAATCCTTTGACAATGAAATAAATAGGGATGGAGTTTCCACACTAATTTCTCTCTACCTAACACCAAACCTCAGAGTGGGAGCTTGTACAAAAACGGAAATAACAGAGGATGAATCCAATCCACAAGAACAGAAAAAAAATAACCATGATCTGTTATGATCAGCCATGATCTCAGTGTTAGTGACCTACCATCATCATCCTCTCATTTTCTACTTCGTTGAGCAATTCAGCAAATTCTTTGAAGGATTCAGCTGGAAGGAAAGAATGAAAGATGAAGCAAATTAATCATATGTCTTTCTATTGGACAGGAGGTAGAGACCAATGCCCCAAATCTACACAGCCACTTGGGGTAGGTGCCAAATGTTAGTGAACATTTCTTTTTAGTTTTTTCATAGGTAATACTTCATTTAATTTTCATAGCTACACTGTGGATTTCCGGGATTTCTTTCATTTCATTAATAAGCACACAGTTTGGGAGAGGGGGCAAAGTATATTCAATGGAAAGCCAACCTAAACAACTTTCTGTCAATCAATTAAAACTGACCATGTCTCAATTTGCTAATTTGTAAATTATCAATAAAATTCACTTCAGAGTAGTTATGGAGATCAAATAGGATGGCAAAAAGTTGGATTAAGTATCATTTTTCTTAGTTTTAAAAGCACTGAAATTGAGTTGAAAGCACATTCAATCTACCACCTGTGTAACCTTAAGTAAGTTACTCAATCTTTCCAAGGCCCAATGTCTTTCTGCGGTTCAAATTGACCTTTGCAACCCAGTACTTCCACTACAGTGCTACACCAGGTTCCAATGCATAGCGACCCTGTATACAGTTTCTGAGGAATAGTAGATGGGTTTGAACTGCCGTCCTGTGGTTAGCAGTCAAGTGCTCATCCTGCAACGCCACACCAAGACTCCTAGCCTACTACTATCCCTGCTTAAAACAGGAGAAAAACAAGGCTCATAGAGGCTAAGCAACTTTCTCAGGTTAAACAGGTTTCAAATCCAGGCCTGTAGTCCTGAAAGTGCTAAAGTCTTGTCACTTTCACATTGCTCCTCCTGGTAGTTAGCTGATGATTAGATTACCAAATACTATATGAACAGACTATAAAACAGAGATAGTGGGAACTCACTGATAGCAGTGGCTTGTTGCAGTTACTGTTAAGTGCTGTTGAGTGGATTCTGACTCATAGCAACCTTGTATAGGGTTTCCAAGGAACAGCTGGTGGGTTTCAACTACTGATCTTGTGGTTTGCAGCCCAGTGCTGATCCTACAGTGCCACACCAGGAGTCCACAACCAGGCTTTTAAAACGAGTCTGACATTATCATTCACACGAAAAAAAAAGACTTTAAATTCCACTATATAAAGAATGTCTCAAAATGAGCTTTGGCTAAGAGGTTCACACTGTTTATTATTATTATTATTATTATTATTATTGAGATATAATTCATATGCCACAAATGTACCTTTTAAGTATGATCACAAAATTATGTAACCATCACCACTAATTCCAGAACATTTTCATTACCTCCATAAAAATCCCTGAACTCATTAGCATTCACTCCCCATTCTTCACATACTGGCCCGTGGCAACAATTAATCTAATTTATCTCTATGGATTCTCTAATTCTAGCCACTTCATTTAAATGGAACCATATATATTCTGTCAGGCTTATTATATCCTTAGCATAATGTTCTTATGGTTCACTCATATTGTAGCACTTACTTTGTTATTTTATATGCTTGTATACATTTTATATTTGTATATTCTATGCTTAAATACACTTGAATTTCCGGCAGCTCCCTGACTATATACTGCTTCAACTGTTTTTTAATTGTCAGCAAAAATGCACTTGCATGTAATATTAATGATATTCTTCAAAGATTTCAACACTCTGTTGGGTCACCTTTCTTTGGCATGGGCACAAATACGGATCTCTTCCAGTTGGTAGACCTGGTAGCTAGCTGCCTTCCAAATTTCTTGATAAAGATGAGTGAAAGCCTCCAGTGTCACATCAGTTTGTTGAAAGATTTCAATTTGTATGCCATCAATTCCTGGAGCCTTGTTTTTAACCTTCAGTGCTACTTGGACTTTTCCTTCAATGCTATAGGTTCTTGATCATGTGGTACCTCTTGAAATGATTGACCATCAACCAATTCTTTTAGGGACAGTGATTCTGTGTATCCTTTCCATCTTCTTTTGACGTTTCCAGTGTCATGCAATATTTTGTCCATAAAATCTTTCAACAACCCGAGATCTGAATTTCTTCTTTAGTTCTTTCAGTTTGAGAAATGTGTAGTGTGTTCTTCCCTTTTGGTTTTCTAACTCCATGTCTTTGCATATTTTATTATAATGCTTTACTTTTTGGTTCAGCTCTTTAGTTCCTCATTTCTTCCCCTGTACCTTCTCTATGCTTAAGAGCAAGTTTCAGAGTCTCTTCTGACATACACTTTCGTCTTTTCATCTTTTTCTTGTCTTTTTAAGGACCTTTTGCTTTCTTCATATATGATGTTCTTGATTACTGTCTGATGCATCAAATCTGTTCTTCAGATTATCTCTAAATTTAGGTGGGATATACTCAAGGTCATATTTAGGTTCTGATAGTGTTGTTTTAATTTTCTTCAGCTTCAGCCTGAACTTGCATTTGAAGCTTGTTTTAACTGATGATACTTAACTTCTCCATTGGCTCCATCATCTCTTTCAACAGATGTAGTCAATTTGATTCCTGTGAGTTCCATCTTTTGAGGACCACCTTTTATGCTATTTTTAAAGAGGTACTTGCAATCAAGAAATCATTGGTCTTGCAAAATTCTATCATGCAATCTCCAGCATTAATTATATCACCAAAGTCATATTGTCCAACTACGGATCCTATCTCTCTGTCTCCAACTTTTGCATACCAATTATCAATGAATCTTGCATTATCAGTGAATCTTGATTATGTATTTGATCAATTTCAGACTAAAGAAGTTGTTAGAATTCTTCAATTTCTAAGGTGCAACTATTGGACTCTCCTGATTCAAAGAAAAGAGAATCAAAGACACATTCAAATAATTAGTCCAAAGGACTAATGGACCATCAGAACCTCAACCTCCACAATCCTGAGACCAAAATAACTAGATGGTGCTGCAACTGTTCACTGCTCTCAAAGGGATTACATTAGAAGGTCCTGGATAAAATGGGGGGGAAATATGGAGCAAAATACAGAATCATAGACGAAGACTTATTGATCTGATAGAGACTGGGGAGGCCCCCAGGACAATGGCTCTTCATCTTTCAGGCCTGAAACTGAGCTTACCCTCATCCCCATGACTCAACTTTTAGCCAAACCATCAACAGACCGACCTAGAAAGTAAACAATAACACCTGGGAGATATATGCCCCTTATAATTATCAACCATAGGATCTCAAAAGTGCAGCATTTGCCCATTGATAAAGCTCAGAAGGCAGGAAGGGGTAAGAAACAAGAATGAATGAAATGGTAACCTCAGGAAAGAAGGGTGAAGAGTGAGGATTTCAATCAATGTCACAAAACAAAATGTGTACAATTGTTGAATGAAAAACAATTTCACTCAAATTGAAATAAAAAGTTTTTAAAAATTCTTTGATGAACTAATTCTTAGACTCTGCTTTCCCACACTTAAGATATATATGATTGTCTTTTGAGTTGCTCAGCAATGAGCAATAGCCATATTGAACAAATAGGGGTAGTGACAGTGTTGAAGGTTATCTGAGCGCTGTGCTCTCCAAAAGCAGAGATGGGTGGTTGATAAAACTGTCTACCTTCAAGTTTTCTCAAATCAATCTCCTTGGTCCATTAAGGAGTTTCTTCAGATGTTGTTGTTGTTGTTATGTGCTGTGGAGTCGGTTCCGACTCATAGCAACCCTGTACAGGGTTTCCGAAGCTGTAAATCTTTGCAGGAGCAGAAAGCCTCATCTTTCTCCCACAGAACAGCTGGTGGTTTCGAACTGCTGACCTTGTACTGACAGTGTTGAAGGTTATCTGAGCACAGTGCTCCCCCAAACCAGAGATGGGTGGTTGATATCTACCTTCAAGTTTTCTCAAATCAATCTCCTTGGTCCATTAAGGAGTTTCTTCAGATATGCTAGGATAATTTAAGTGGAAATCAAATTTAGATCCTGAGATTATAAACACTATTTTTACTTTCCCCAGTCATGAACAAGCAACCTGTTAAAAAGCAAAGGTGCTACCTCACAAGGAAGAGGTGACAAGCCAGATGCATAAAGAGAATAAGAATATGCTGCCAAGGTTCACCCCAATACCCAACTGCTGTTGTGATGACAAGACTGAAACTTAGGGTTAAAATGTCAGGTTCTCCACTCAAACATACCAAGTAATTTCTAGGATATTCAAGGTTAAAACAAAACTTTGGGGAATGTATCTTTTCTCAGAGCAATAAGGACCTAACTTTAGTCTGTGTGTCACCACTACTCAACTCTAATTTTGTATTACATAACAACTAATACAAACACAAAGTTCATTTCACTTCACTGATTAATATCCTCTTTGTAACATCCGCAAAACAGAAATTAACTCCATTTTTACAAAGTACAAGTCTGAGACTCAAGAGACACAATTAATAGGTAGAGCAAGTTGTTATATTCAGCTCCCAAGGGAGATGCCAAACCTCCTCTTGCCTGAAAACTTGCACATGTATATTAGATAACTTTAAACAGTTTTGGGGAAATTGTTCATTTGAAGAATCTCATACTGAATCATGCTGAAAACAGTTTTTAAGAAGTACTTCTTATATTGTCCTCTTCTCGTGTATTGAATTCTTTAGAGAAAAGTGCCTCTGCTGGCTACAGTAGAGACTTAAAGTACATCCTCTGAATTGTTTTCATAGGAGGGGGAAGCATAACTAGCAGGGACTATTTCCTCCTTCGTTTTTAGCAGTCTCCTAAAGCAGGGATGGGGAACCTTTTTTCTGGCAAAATTTATAACACCATTCCTGATGGCAGGAGTGCTGGTGTGGTGCTGTAGGATAAAGCACTGAACTGCAAGGTCAGTTTGAACCGCAAGGTCAGTTTGAACCACAAGGTCAGTGATTCAAACTCACCAGCCACTTCTCAGACACCCTATGATTCGCTATGAGTCAAAACCGACTCGATGGCACTTAACAACAACAACTATAATGTGATGGCTTAGAACTGCAGTTGTCTTAGCAGAGCCAGACCAAATAATTTTGCGGGTCTTACACAGCCCGCAGGAAGGACTTTAACTACCCCTGTCCAAGGGGCTCAACAATGGATCACAAGGAATGAAAAGCCCAGATGCTCTGTATCCACAAATCAAGAAGACTGCGCAGTCACACAAACACACTAAGTGAAAACATACCAATGTTTATCTCGTCGTCAGTGAGAGTGTCTCCAATGAAATCAAACTGAAATGACTGCAGAGTCTGGGAAAATTTCTGAACAGCAGAAGAGTAATCTGCAAAGGAAGGAGAGCAAGAGAAATGATTAAATTAAAGACCATACTTTCAGTAGAAGATTTGAGCAAGAAAAATCACACATTAAAAAGGAATGGGAGGGACGTCAGAAGAGCGGGGCTGAGTTGCTTCAGTTGCTGAGACTGCGGGTCGTGTGGCTTGCTGGGTGAAGTTCTCTCCTAGGCGAACAGTCTCAATGACCATTTGTCAATTCTTCCTTCAAGGCCGGTGCCGATTTGGACACCGGTGCTGGAATGAACATCCTGGAGCTCCGGGCAGAGGACGGCAGCAACCTCAGCAGCAGCCCGCAGTTGGTAACAGGCGCGGATGGAATGCCACTAGTGAGAGAAACTCCAGTGTGATCCAGCCATCCAGGTTCTCCAGATCTGCTCCATGTGGGGGCAGCAGAGACCAAGGGAAGCAATCAGTAGGTTCTTTCCAGGGTGGAACTAGCAGAAGCAGCAGCGAATTAGCCTTGTCTCAGAGCTCATTTGCGTCACTTAACTCTGAAGAACAAAAGGATGAATAGAAACTACTGGAAGAAATTGTGAATCATCAGGGCAGTGGATGTTTTCTGTTTATTCACCAATGAAAGATAAACCTAATATTTCAGGCGTTTATTGCTCTGAAATTCCCGAAAAGACGTCAGAAATCTAGTATTAAGGTTTCTCCATGACATTAAGGAAAACATGGAAAAAATTTTGGAAGAATTCAGGAAAACAATACAAGAACAAAATGAGAAACTCAATAAAGAGATAGAAACATTAGGTATAAAACAAACAGAAATTCCAGAGCTTAATAATAAAATAACAAAAATAAATAATTCCGT